ATAAGGTTAATTAATATGACACAATTTATCATATCTAATGACCTCAGGGGTGCTTTTTACTTTTATATTGTTTATTGATTTATTTTTAATTTTAACACGTCATTGTGCCAAATAATGATGACCGTCAACTGCATGTTTAAAACTAATATTAACTTTCCCAATGAACAGGTGCAATTTTGATAATCACCAACAGTGAATTTAAAGGGGCATTTCACTTTTTCTGATTTAGTGATAGGTCTACTCATAACCAAAAGGGACAGAGCATCATGCAGCCTTCATAACATAAAATGACACTGTGTTATGGTGACAAAAAAACAAGAACATTTGTCACCATAASTCAGATTACATAGGCATRTGTTCTSTATATAAAGAAAACAATCACTTCTTTGAGCTTGGTGATGTTTCAAACTGTTAAACACTGCCACCAACTGTTCAGGAGGATTATTACACCCCTAAAAGTTGTTTCACTGTAGAAAGGGTGTGTACAGCAGGGTGGCCAATAGGGTGGCCAATAGGGTGGCCAAAGATTTGTCTGTGGTGACCATGGCCACCCCCTGGCTCCATCCCTGCATCAGTTCCACTTGTATAGATGTTTGTATGTATTTTGTCATAATAATGTTCCTGCTTGAAGTGGCCCAGGCTGAATTAGAAATGCTACTGTTAGCTGCTGCGGTTATTTAAGAATGAAAATAGAACTCCATAAATAACTGTGCAATGTAAATGTGATGACAATGTAAAAGGTTTTAAAATAACACTTATATACTATCATTTTTAGATTTTAGTGGTTTTAAGATGGCAACAATCCGCTTTAATCCTGGACTTTGGTCAGAATTAAATATTTTTTCTCCAAACTGAAGTCATTCAAAGTGACTACAACTAGTACAACAGGTACAGTATTATRACCCTAACCACATTTCAAAATGTTTGAACTATAGCTTTAATGTTTTCACGTTAGTTCTCCAATGAGCTTCTCACCTCTGGGCCGTGAAGTTATCCTCAGCTTTAAAAGAGTAATACAAAGTGTTTTGATGGTAAAGCTGAAAGACRTTGTCCGCCTCGTCAGCCCCCTGCTTATCAGACAGTTTCACTGTGAAACCCAGAAGAGGCAAACTTTCTGATGCTACTTTCTCCTGCAAATAAAAAAAAATATTAATGATCAGCAAAAATAACTAATGATATATATRAATGACTTATAATTATTTAACTAATGGCTACATTTACAAATGATGATTTTTCTGTTCTGTTCTGTGCACATTTAGGTGTGTATWACAAGCTCTTCAGGTTAAAGGGGACCGCGTGTTTCCCCTCACCTCTTGGGCTCGGTAGGTGTAAAGCACCTTGTCTTTTAGAAGGAACCAYAGCCTCTTCCAGTTCTTTTTGCTCTTCTTGCTTCGCTGTAGCGTGCCGCTGATGGAGCCCTCCTCCGACACGGTCACCTGCAGCATCAACGTTACACGTCAAGACAAGACACGACTTTTGTGTTTTTTTCTAAAATTATTTTCAGAAAACTTACCTGAGTGAAGGACGCTGTGCCTTTGCGATGTCGCCAAATATTGGGAGGATGAATGTTTTGAAACACAGTCGAGAGCGGACGGCTGGAGCGGGTCACCCGAGGACTGCTGTTTCCTGAGAGCACAGATACATCTCCTCCTGCAGTGACAAACAACTTCCTTTTACCTCAAAACAAGATGGTACAACCACTGGAAAAGATTTGTTCCCAGGAGGCAAGTTCCTCACACTGATTTTAACTTCCTGCTACATATCAGCACAAGATAAAACACATATTTGTTTTATATTCTATGGTTTAAACCGGTGCCAGAGTCTAAATTAAACCCATACTGTTCCTAAAATACACCCAATGCTGGAGACATTTTGACAAAAACAAAAAAATCAGAGCAAATCATTTAATTAGCCTATTGTTAGCAAAACTTGAGACTTTGTGGGTTGATTATGCAAAATCAACTGTCATATTGCTCAGTGATGCAACATTAAAGATGTGTTTTAATTTATSCAAGCAGTCATTTTACCTCTCTTTTTTAGCTCACTGTAACAGTGATCACACACTTTGGCCATGCGGTCTTTCATGTACTTCAGGGGGTATCTGTTCCTGGAGCAGCTTCGACAAACAATCTGTCACACAACAAAATGATGCAAACAAGTTAAACACACAAAAAAAACTGGTAAGAAGCATAAATTCATGCCTACAATCAACAGACATTTCCTTTAAAACACATTTTTTGGATAATTCTCGACATTGTGAATAAAAGTTGAGTGTTTCAGCGCACTTTGGTGTCTTTGTGTGACTTACTCGTCCGCAGCTGTGGCAGTGGTGTCTGCGGAGCGTCAGGCTGAAATCTGCAGTGCAGTTCATGCACATCATGACTTGTGAGACGGGAACAAGTGTGGGAGCTTTTTCTCCCAGGGACAGCCCGAGACGATCTCTGGCCTGGAAAACACACACACACACACACACACACACACACACACACACACACACACACACACATCCATTGATTAATGACACTGGGAAGCTTGATGAGCTGAAGCCGCACCATCAGTGTCATTCTGGTGGTGCAGTTAACGTGATGAGGAGAGAGGATGCAGCGATACGACGCAGGATTTACTCACCTCTCCTGAGCAGCTGCTGGGAGCCGCAGGGCCTCTTGTGTGTTCGGTCACGGTGMGGTTCAGGGTGTAAAACCAGTCCTCTCTTTCAAGGAAGGAACTGCAAACAGTGCGAACAAACTGACTTTAATTGCACTGATCGAAATGTCATCATCAAATACAAAAAACAATCGCTGTGCGTGCATAAAGGGTGGTGGTGTAATGATGGATGTGATATTAATGTCATTTTTTTTACTTTAGTGTGACCCACCTGGCAGACAAAATGATGGCRATGTCTGTCCCTTCTATTTTGAGAGCATATTGGACATTTTGTATATTGGGTTTACTGACCTGGGCAATTAATCACAAAAAATCAAACAGACAAAAACATTAGAAAAAAACACCAAAAAGCCCTAYCTGATGTTGGAAACATATTTTAGCTGATTATTTTTAAAGCTATTATATTAAAACACTATGGATAGGTGAAAAGTCTATAAATAATGATTTTAAAGGGTAATCATTGCTAAAAGTCAAAGTGATTCCAACAAATGGACTGACCTTTAACCCTGTCAGAGGTAAAGTGTTCTTCAGTCTGTATTTCCCGTCCTGCTGAGGGTAGGTGTAGAGCAGCACATCGTTCATCTTGCAAAAGACAAAAAAAAAGTCTGTCAAGTCTTAAACTGCTGCAAATGTAAAGACAAAGATCCACTCAGATWATTTATGTAGTGCTGCAACTCTCCTGTAGGTGTCATTGTAGTCTAATTTAAAGTTTAGGGAATTATTATTTTTATTTTTAACCAGATAGAAAATACATTTGTGGATAAATCAGCTCTATAGCTGAAATAAAAAGTCTTCCACAGTCACTCATGACCACTGGCTGCAATCCAAACATTTTTATTATACAGGTTTGTAATTCTCAAATGAATGAAGTATTAAAGATAAAACCTAAAATAACCCATTCCTGACAGTAGGAAGAAYCCATTGATTTTTTTTTATTGCATCACATTGTAATTTTTCCACTACATCATTTTGCTGTCTGTCTGTGTGTTTTATTACCTTACTATAAGGAAACACCTGCAGACTTGTTTTATTATTTATAATAATTGATGAAACAGTCACTGTCTGAGAGAATACAACAAAATTGTTAGAATTAGAAGGAATAAGATTCACCACATCTTCTTTAAAAACARCATAGAAGGTGCACAAAAACACCTCCGTGGCGACTTTTTGATTCAAATGTTCATATTAATTCATGAATCATTTTTAGTAAATTAATCGTGTGATGCTGACTCAGCGGTGACTGATAAAGAGTGAAGAGAAACTTCAAGCGTGCAGTTTAATCATTGATTCTGATCCTCTTCTCTTCCTTTTCTTTATCCTCTAAAACCAACTCAGTGAATTTGCTTTTAAGGGGATAAAATACTAACAATCGGACTGGTAATAGTTCTGGTAAGGTGTGTTTTTAGACCTTAGGTAGCTGACCTTCCCTGTGCTGTCAGCAGGAAGTAAACATCCTGTCAGGAAACTCTGCTCTTAATAGCTCAGTCTGGACGCAGACATAAATCAGGGAGATTCCTGACTCTATATTATTCACAAAAATTAGCAAACAAATTGTGATCAGTTTGTATATATCTTAATTATTTAGAATTAGGAAATAAAGGTAAATGTCTGTGCATTGATAAGAAGCAACGTTTACCAAAAACAAATGRCGGGGCTGGCGACTCTTCCTGCTGACCTTCATCAGGGTGCCCTCTTTCACAAAAACCTGATGGTAAAAACAAAAACAACACAAATAAGATCATGTTGTGTTGATAGATCAGATCCATCTGCAGCCCTCTGTTTTAGGTCCAGCCTGCCTGCCTGCCTAAAGGGCATGGAGGGGTGACGGAGGGCAGACAGGGTGGGCTGGCGAGGCTCAAACAGAAACAATGCTGTTATCTGAGTCGTTACCCTGCCGGGATGAAGCAGGTCGCGCTGGCCACGAACGCTGTACGCTATGTTGATCAGACGCAACAGGTTCTCCTGAGAAACACAGACAAAACAACAGAAAGAGGGAAAACAGTTAAAGAACTGTGAAGCTAAAATAAGAGAGAAAGATTAGGATTATGTTGGGTTCAGTCTACAGATGCTATCACCTGAATCAAAAAGAAACACAACTTAAAATAACAAAGTAACTTATCAGTGGCTTCTGATGGAAGTCATAAAATGTTTTAAGTTATAACAAACAGCAGGATTCAGCTTGAAATGCTAACATGGAGAACCTTAAAGCACATAAACTTGATGAAAATTACACCATAGAGCTACAAAGGTCTACAAAATAATTCTTAGCCATGAGTTAATATGAGATGGGAGCATCGTTTCATTTAATAAAATAAATGACAGTTTCATTCAGCTTCTTGCATTCATCCACTGTCTAATTACWGGTAAAGTACATGTTATTCTGTGTAAAATGCAATGGCTGAGATTGAAACACTTGTATAAGACTGAGGAAATKATCAACTTCAACATACAGGAGAAAGAGGCGAACAGGACTTAAAAATGTATAAAAAAAACTGAAGGATATTTTCTTTTTTTATTTGCATTATTTTTTTATCATTTATAAATTTGTACATCATGCAGTTGCGTTCATGTAGTTCCTGTTTTTTCTTGTTAAATTCATTTGTTCTTCTTGTTATTTTTTATTGGTAGGTTTGTGTGAAGTTAAGCAAACTTTAACCACTTAAACATATAGTTTTGTGGAAAGGTTATCCAGCAGGTAAAATATTAATTGTTCATAGCCTTTCAACAGAACCACACTTCTAAAAAAATGAATTATCGCTTTAGGTTGCACTAATAGTAACCTGTTTGTAATGAATAATTCCTTTTTTTAATTTGAAAGGTAAATATTTCTGGATTTGGGCAGATCTTTGGTGAATGATTCAACCTTACCCCATGTTTCAAACTGTCATTGACCTGATCTGCGATGTCGGCCACGACGGCTACAGCAGCTGCATGAGACAAACAAACACGAGGATCAGGAACCTGACAGCAGCCACAACAAACATTCACGTTTCAGGAGACATTTCTTTGACTCCTTGTGCTTGATAAACTGAGTGAGACGTCTAGAGGTGTCTCTGTGTTTAGTCTGAGGAGGCTATCTTATCAGAGATGCAGTTTGAGATTGTGCTGCTGCAGCTTGCCTCCTCCTGCGCATTACGTCTTAGGACAGAAAAAAAAAGCTGAACGACTGTCTGAGGGGTTCCAAGCACAAAGAAACAGGATTAAATTGGCTCTCTCATGGCCATTTCTTCAAGCTAAATGTGCGCAAACAAGCACAGAGCCACACAGAAGCCAGAAAAGCTCTCCTGGCAGTAAGAAAAGAGCCAGTAGTGAGCAGCAGCCGTGCACACTGCTACACGTTTACTGTACCTTGGGTGTCTTCATACTCCTTGGAATCAGGAGAGAGATTGTTCAGATAATCTGTGAGAGAAGCGGGAAAACGAATCACCTTTAGAGAGTCAAGCACAAACTATGAATTGAAACAGATCCTCTGTTTGCACTGAGGTTAACCTCGTCTTTGACTTCTTCACTCACCGGTGAGAATCATGCGATAATGAGCCACACGCACGATGACATGCAGGAGCTGCTGCTTGAAAGTAACTCTGTCCCCACCTGGGCTTTTCTCCTGACAGAAAAAAATAAAAATGATTTGAAAGTTTAATAATTATTAATTTTGTGCTTGTTTTATTTATTTAATATTCATATTAAATTAAGCAGGAAAGTACATTCTGTTAAAAACACAAATTTCATACAGAAGCACAAAAMATATATCTTATGCAGTCTGTTAGAACTCTGAGCCTGAGCTGTACGTCCACACCAACTTCAGGTCAGGGGTCTGCAACCTGTGGTTCTGGGGCCACACACATCTCTCTCACTTAAGTGGCTTTTTGAAACTTTGACCAAAACTTACAATATATATATA